AACCCACGTACAGACGTTTTCTGATTCACGACATACCGTGTATGGAGGCTCACCCACGTTCCGCCAGAACGTGGGTGAGAATCAGAATGGAGCGCATTGTGCGAGCTGTGAGGGTGCTCAGCTGAAGAATTTTCCGAAGCACGAAATCAAAAATATTGGATGAGCTTCTTAGGCCCGGGTAGCTTCGTCTTTGGCCAGGTTTGGGCCTTTCGCTTCATGCTTTTGCTTGTTCCGTGTGACTAAACACAACATTGCAACGTGGATGCCCTTCATCCACTTTACGTGGATCACCCACGTACGCGTTTCCGCTACGTGGGAACTAAACCTCCCTAATGTCGTGTTCGTACGACTCGTACTGGTCGTTGACTGGGTCGAATGGGTGCAGGCTTGGGAGCAGGTCTGCTTTTGGTGTGGTGTTGGCACCGTCGGAGGGCGTTTGGGATACGGCGCTGGCGTGGGTCAAACTCTGGGATGCTTTTGGTGCCGAGTCGGTACGGTGAGAGTCAGCTTCAGCTCCGCTGTTCCGCTCTGTGCTGCCAGTGCTGCTGCCTTCTCTGCCGGCATGTGTGGAGGTGTGTGCCTGCGACGGTTTTGGCAGGTATGCGCGATGTGACCTAGCTGGCCACATAGCCTGCACGTGCCTACCTGGCCGTCGTAGATGATGCGGAGCTCGTGTGAACCTTCTGTCGTACGCAGGTACGACGGGATCGAACTGCCTGGTTATAGTGCCTGGTTATAAGTTATAGTTCGAACGTGGCGAATCGCACACCAGTTACTGTTTGGGTGCCGTTTGAAAGTTTGATTTTGCGCATCTCACCAAGAGTACATAACCCCCCCGTACTCTTGATCTCACCAATAAGCTTTCCGTACGGTGAGAGAGCAGCTTTGAGCACACCGTCTCAGGCTGTGTTTACATGAGAAATTTCAACCCGGGTCGAGTTCAGCCCGGGTTGAAAGTCTGTACGATAGACAAAAGACGTGAGCATTTACATGAAGACAGTTGACCCGGGTCAAATACTGATATGCCGCCAAAAGTCCACTTCTGCAGTCCTGCATGGTCACGTGAATCCGTTCGCGCGAAATTTGCATCTGCAGTGCCGTTCAAACGTGTCGCGAGATACGCACAGAAGTACGTTTGTACGATTTTCTTGACCCGGGTTGGTTTCAACCCTCCCCTGTGGGGAGGGTTGAAATCAACCCGGGGCGAAATTTCAACCCGGGTCAAGCGCAATGCGTCATGTAAACGCTCCATTCATTTTGTGTGCATGGCGGGTTGAAATCTGACCCGGGTCGAACTCAACCCGGGTTGAAACGCTTCATGTAAACACAGCCTGAGATCCAGATCGGAGCATCATGGATGTGTAACTGTGTTGTTGGTGCGGAAACGAAGCGTGGTGAAACCCGTTCGCCCTTGCAATGGAAGCCATTGAGCACAAACAATTTGAGGCATGGGCAGCAAAAACCAGGGTTAGGTGATATTTGGCGAAAATGAGTTTTTGATGGCTTTGAACTGTCCACTAAATGAGTGATCTATGGGCCAAATTTTGGAGCTCTGGGCACCTTACAAGATGGTAAAAAGAACGCCCGAAATGATGGGTGACGGTCAACAAAAATGGTCAGCAAAAAGGCAAAATGGAACGCAGTTACAGCTAGCTCTAATGGAGTGACTGAGAACAATTGAGTATATTCAAGTATAGGTCTTCAGGGAAGCACAGCGTACTCTAGTTGATATTCAAGTAACATTGTTGCCTGCACTTGCTGCAATGTTACTAGAAAACTCAATCCCTGTCATGTGCAAGTCTGGTGTTGTATGCAGACTTGTCAGACAGAAAGAAGCCAAGCAACTGACGTTTTACATGGCTGGGAAGAATCTGCAACTTACAGTCCATTTCAAAACTATAGACGCGTGAACTCATACGTACGAGCCGTACGTACTGTAGCGCACGACAGCCATGAGTTTTGCATGAGTGTTTTCTGGTTTTCAGATGTGTTTTCAGGTTTTTCTTCGTCGCCGCGGGAAATACAAAAGATGCAAAACACGCAAAGTCGCAAATGAAAAGGAGTGGAGAAAGTCTCAAAAGAAAGTCTCAAATGAATCTTCTTCTTGTTTGCATTTTCTGAGTGCCTGACTGTAAAGGCTTCCAAGGCCCGTAAGAATCTCAGTGATGCCGAGAAAGATATGATTAGTCGTGTTCATTGTTTCTTCGAACAAGAGCTGGATTTTGATTGACGCTTGAGTATCCGAAATCCTCGTCGTCGAACTCACCTTGCAACTGGCGTGAGTGAAACCACTGTCACTCGTTGTGTCAGGCGAAGGGAACAGGGAGGCTCAAATCAAATAAAAAAAAGAGAAAATAATTATCATCTCTACTGTATTTCACCGAACAAGATCCAAAACATGCAGAAAAGAAGAGAAAAAAAGCAGGAGGCGTGATAGGATTCGAATGCCCCACACTTGTACTGGAAATCACGGATCGAAACCACGAGGCTACCAGGACCCGTACAAAAATGCACCCGCGATGGTCTGGCAGCACTGTCTCAGAAGGAGCAAAAATCCTAAACAAACTGGTCAAACCCTTAAAAAAAACTGGTCAAACCCTTCAAAACAGAAATTACATGTAAAACCGGAAAACCTGGCCTAAAAATAAACTTCAATTGTAGCGAAAACAAAGTATACAGCCAGAATTGTGCAGCGATGCAGAGACGGAATCTGGAGAAAAAACTTAAAATATTTAAATATATCCCATCGAATTTTGCAAAACACTACGCGTCTATAGTTTTGAAATGCACTGTAGTACAAGACTAGATATGCATGCTGGGCCAAGCCAGATACATCCAGCAAGCATGTCTTGCTCTCCTACGCACAGCAGCCCGTAGGAACATATAATACTGTGACAAATTTCATGCGCACCGCAAGCATGCATGTATACTTGCAACAATTTTACTCACAAAATATGATCAAGTAAGGTTTAGTTCATTCAGGGCTGTCTCCGTATCTCACCAACTTATCCATCTGCGAATAGTCGCCACGGAGTACTGAACCTCGTTTGTCACTCTCAGCGCTGCTGGCCGCGTCGCCACTTCGTGTCACGGAGCTCTCAAACTCGTCGTCTGCGCTGCCTCCGCTGATGGCTTGTCATCTGAGCGAAACCTCTTCACTTTCACCTGATTCTTCTTGCGGGGGACTATCACAGGCAGCGGAGTATGTCTGGAGATCCAGCTGCCAAATATTCTAGTCGCTCGTGCTCTATCAAGAATTCATGACGGAATCGTTCCGCCAAGAAATTATTTGTTCCCCTCTCTTTTCAGCGCATGATTTTCAGACGCTACCCAGAGCGCAAACGCCTCCATGGTGGCTGAAAACGCCTACCTGGACGTCCCTAGTGCTTGGCGGATAAACTACAACTGCAATGACAACAAATTATAGCGAAGCCACCAAGAGGAAAGCACTTTCAAAGCCATATCGCAAGAAATCTTTCCGCTTTGATCGCGGTGATTAAAAAACGACATCGGTTCGGTTTTTCGCAAATATTGGCATTTTTTTGGCTGCCGATGCCTCATTTGGCCTTTTCACATGACTCAACGGTAAGTCTACATTGACTCCTGCTTGTTGTCTGCATCGAAATGATGCCGGTGATACTTTGGTCTTCTAGGAGCTTTATGTAGGCCCCCACGCTTACCTGGGCTCGCGAGGGGAATACAACAGTGTTCTTCTTCAGTGTCGATGATGAGAGCTGTCGCCAGGGCTCCGTATCAGCTCCGTTTTCGGCCATGATGCCTGGCGGTTGTAGTGAATCAGCACTCTAAGTGATCTAGTTTACTACCTGTGCATCCACAGCCATACGGACTGGGAGCGGACTATTATGCTAAAAAATACGGAGCTCCAAAAACTGCTTCCACTCTCCAGTAATAGCTGTATTATTCTTAGCTGTGTGATTGTGTGGTGCTGCGTGGTACGGAAAGGAGGGAGCATCTAGATTCAGGGATGTTGAGGCTGCGTTTGGTGCTCGTGGAGCTGTTGGAGGATTAACATCTAGTAAGAGTGTTGAGGGAATTGTGGCTTACTGACCTACGCTGTCGGCGGAGACACGTCAGTTTCTAGCTCATACCTTTGATGGTCAAACCCCTCACCGTTAAAGACTGACAGATTATCATCAGGTATGACAATGTGTGCATACGCGAGGCCAAAGTAGCGAGTTCCCCCCCCCCCCCCCCCGAGCACTTTATCAATAAAGAGAGGGAGGGGGAAGCTGTGTTGCAACTCCTAGTTTCACATAGTCACGATCATCAGGCAACGCACACATATCAACTTGATTAACTTCTTATCCGTTTGCATTTTCATGAATGTAAGGGAAGTGTTTATGACTTGAATAGATACATGTACCGTGAAGTACCGTTGATCCGCCCCCCACGCCAAGTCGCTTCCCAGCTGGATTTTCAAGGGGGGGGGGGGAAGGGGGGGAATTCGATCAAGGCTGTTTGGTGCAGTGTCGTTGTACGACAGTGCGGTGTTGTATCTTTCAGACGCAAACAGGTGAGAAAGGTCAAACTCGACGCACACATGCACACAGACTCTCACCGGAATGTTTGTTTGCGCACTAGAAAGTAGTACGAGGTTGGCTGTATGCATATGGACATGAGTACAGAAAGATGCATAATTTCTCTACTGTATAATTCTGAAGTCACTTCAGAGACAGAAAATCGAGGGGGGGGGGGAATAAGAGTGGGGGAGGATCAATGGTACTTTACGGTATATGTAGGAGAATGGACATATCTAAAGAAGTTAAAATTAACTTTAACCATTGATCATCATACAATGATTATGATATCTGTGGCAGTCAGAGCACGCTGTTCTTTGAGCCTTAGAGCTCATCTGTTTACTCACCTTGACTGGGATCCGCTCATAAGCGAAACTCTTTAATCCTCTGATAAGACCTAACAAGCAACAAGTAGCTAACTGTCCAGAGATTGATTTAATAGGAGATTATGAATGTACTTACGGACATTTTTCACGGTATCGCACAATGGTGTTTCATATTCCCATCCTGCCCGCTCTCCCGAGCAAGTTGCTTTACCCACACTATCAAAACCTCGCTCACATCTTGGTTCAACTTGGGCAAGAGGAAGAGAACTGCCATTATGACCATTATAGTTAATTAGTACCTCTTCAATACGACCATTAGGGATAAGCAATGGTTGGCAATAGGAATGACCTGTGCATATCAAACATGATATATTATTAGTAGCAAATATTCACCAGGTCAGGGAGTGGGAATAGGAGATGGCAAAAAAATCAAAAAATTGACTGTCACCACGAGCCAGTGGGACTCAGCCATCCCTGTACTCACACATTTCACTCACAAACTAGTTCACTTGGAGACCCAAAGAATCAAATATTCACAAGTTTAGGGAATGGAAAAGAGAGAACTTGAGGAAAAGAACTTTGTATGTTGGAATCAGGAGGTATTCATCTCACTATAGACAGTCGGGAGGCCACTATAGACAGTCGGGAGGCCACTATGCAATCTAAAACCTGTAAACAGTTGGATGGTGTGCACTGACTCATCTATATGCAGTCAGATCCCCAGTACGCAGTCAAAGTCCTACAAACACCATGACTAGTTAACACTCTGAACGAACTACCTTCCTATCCTATGAATACATGCACAACTTTCAGTCTAACAACGGGTTTGGCTATTTGGGTTTGAATGCAGGGACATCTATGTACACAGTTTTCTTGTTGCAGAGAGTAAGCGACAGAGAGCAAAGCATGTGCACAGTGGACAGTTTCGTAATGTTCTGTCGTTGGAGTGCCACTACTAAGCCATAATCATTGCCCTGCTCTTCTCTGTAGTGTCAAGAAGCCAAAAAAACTTGTAGGGCTCACTTCACTACTTGAAATACTTTTCACTATCTACACGGGGGGGAGTCTGGCTGACCGTCCGTGATCTGTTTTCACAGGCTGTACTTCAGGATTGGACTTCTCATCCGATTGAACAGAAGCGGAACACAAAGCTGTAGAGCATTCTTAGGTATTGAATCCACACAGGCGGGCAGATAATTCTAAATTTTTACATCAACAATAGAATACATCGCAGATCGTGAATAGCAAATGAACAGAGCGGTTAACATTTGAAACCCCCTTTCTTCTATCAGAAGTATTCCTTATTACACTCACATGAAGGGGCTTCAGACCATTGTCCATTTTCTTGGCAGATCACCAGACCAGATCCTATCATGTGATAGCCTGGGCTACAGTGATAAGTAGCTACGTTTCCAACACCTGCATCGACTACTTGATACTCTCCGAAATCGATAGTTGGGACGACACCACACTTCCCTTCTGAGACAAATAAAAGAGGAAGAAGACACATTGACAGTTGACAACAACGTTTGAATTCTTTATTCTCACGATGGCACCATCGCCAATAAGAGATAAATTGATGAGAAGGTGAGATTGTGGGTTAAACAGTTGGAAAGTGATTTACATCACTTTGAACTTTACAAGTATGGGAGAGGGTGAGCGCTGCAGGAGCAGATTGAGTTAATCAGCAGTGAGCAGATTTCTTGTTTGAAAGCAGGTCGGGAGGAGATGTCAGATTGACTGCAACACGCAAAAGTGATATCGTCTGTTGACATTATTAAAGGTTAGTGCATGTCAGGGAGGGCCTTTTGACTTGTTAGTGCCTGAAAGGTTCGCATGAGGGCCGTAGGTCGGTGGCGGGGGGGGGGGGGGGGGGGGAGGGGAGGGGGCTAACAGGTAGGGCACAAACAGGGTAAATGCAGCACATTCCTTACCGATATGTTCAATCCTCTCAATGGGGGGGGGGGAGGGGTGGGGGGGGGGGGGCTAAAATGTAGGGCACAAACAGGGTAAATGCGATCCCTCCCAGCACATGCTGCTTTTCAATAACTACCCTTTCCGCTTTATTATCATTTCCTTTACTGGCCTAAAAGGCTATTAATACTTTATTCCCGTAGCTATGCAGAAGACGTTACTTCAGTAACGTCTGGTGCTAGCCATGGTCCACACAGCTTTAATTTGGTGTTTGTTTGTTTGTGTGTGTGTTTGCGTGTTTGTGTCACGCCTGGCGCTATCCCGTATCTGCCCCGTACCGTACCGTACCATCAAACACAGCTGGCCACACATAGCTGGCCGCAATATTCAAATAGGGCTTTCAAACGCAAGATCATAACGTGAAGCAACTTGGAAGAATGAGTATGAATGCGAAGTGTACGGTAGAATGCATGTAGGACGATAGTGCTAGTTCAAATCCCAGGTAATGCCTGAAAAAAATAGGAGAATTGAAAAATTTATAACATCCCTTTTCGGTTTTTTGCCGTCATCAAGGTGGTAGACGGTGCGTGTTACCCTCGACCGTACCTGTCCCGTACCTGTCCCGTACCTGTCCCGTACCTGTCCCGTACCTGTCCCGTACCTATCCCGTACCGTACCGTACAATCAAAGACGGCTGGCCACAATGCATATTCAAATAGGGCTTTCAAATGCAAGATCATGACGTGAAGCAACTTGGAAGAATTAGTATGTATGCGAAGGGGGATGCATGCTGGGCGCGCGATAATGCGGGTTCGAATCCCAGGTTATGTTTAAAATAAAAGGAATTTTTTAAAGAATTTATAACATCCCTATGCTTTTTTTTGTCTAGGTCATCAAGGCAAAAAAGCATAGCGTAGGGCCCTGAGCTTCCAAGCTCTCTCATTATACAAAAGAGAAAAACCAAGGAACTACAAGTTACGCTATACTGTCCACTAACACCAGTTACTAAACAATCAGCTAGTCATGGGATAACATTGCACGACACTGACCGACGGTACTGACGTTCTACAACTACCTGGCTAATAGTGTAACTTGTAGTTCCTTGGTTTTTCTCTTTCCTATAAAGTTGCCTGTTTGTTCTTTGACTGTAAATAAACAAACAAACAATAACAAAGGGTTTGCTCACCACACCGGAGCTCGCGCTATTCCGTCGACTTTACTTGCCACTTGACTGACTCACGACTGCCATCCAGAGCACACGAGAAGTCCATCAGTGTTTGTCGCGCTGGAAACGGAGCGTCTCTGTAAGTGTGTATCCCTGGTGATGTTTGTGCCTGGAGAGCACTATATAAGTGGTGCTCGTCAGGCGAAATTACTGGTCAGTCGGCGTCACGCATTTTTCACAAAAATTTGCGTTTCACCTGCTGGGAGAGTATGCGTGTACTCGAGTCTCATCCTGAGCACGTTTTTTTCTTCTTTTTTTCAGCTCCAGTATAGCTGTATTTTTCATTGCAAAGCCGTCCTCGATTGTTGTGTTCGTTGTTCAAACGAAGTGGGCATTCAATCATGAAGGCAGAGGACATAGGAGCCTGATTGGAGTTTCTCGTGGCATAGGACGGCCACACAGAGACACTTTGGGATTTTCCGAATATAAAATACCGTACGCACGATGCTGAGATCAATTTGTGCGATATCAAATTGTTTGTGATCTACCGCATCGAGCAGAACGGGATCCAAACACGGTAAGACATGTTATTATAATGAGTCGCAAATTTAAACCCCAACATCCATAGGTTATTGAGAACATACGACTACTTTCTCGCAATCTTCATGGTTATCCGCGCACATCACAAATGTGGCCTTACACCCGCAACAGAACTTATAATTACGAAAATATAATTATGTTAAATCGTTACATTTGCTTCCTCGTTAAATTTACTTCCTCCGCGTCATCGAAATTGTCGCAGTTTGACTTTTGATATAAAACGGGGTATTTACTCACCAGCACTCGTACCAGAGGCAAGGAATTGGACATAGGCGATAGTCATCAGTATAGGGTTACGGCAAAGTTCTATTTTCTGTTATTGGAAGCTGGAATTTTTGAACTAGACGCAATTTCTTCGCTGATGTCGCTGCGATGATAATTTCGACTCACTGAGATCAGTCAGGCGTTGCAGCCTGCACATTTCTCGTGCTTATGGCCATTCACTCAAGCCTCGTCACTGTTTTACTTTAGTTGGGGTGAGAATGACTCCGTGGAACAAGTGGCAGCGCTTGGAGAAACATCGAGGGGTCAGCAAACTAAATGCCTGCAATAGCGATAAAAATTGTCGCTCTGGCTGAGACACTCAGTACATGATTGTACCTGCAAGAGCCGTGCAGACTCTACATGTAGTGCTAATGATGCACGCGCAGGTGCCGTACCATGGTATACCAGTGATGCTGAAAAAGAGGGCGCGCTGGACGTGATAGTACACTTACCTGCATGAGTTGTGACCACACAGCTAAAATAAATGGGCATGCCACGGCTAAAAAAAGTGCATTTCAAGATCGAGGTGATTCTGCTGACGATAATCAACCGACCTCGCAAGGATCTTGTATTCTTACTAGGCTTCGTTGGGAAAGTAAAAGTAAATTATCGTGTCCGTTCCCGAAGTAGAAATCATCCAGAGCTAGCAGACGACAAGCATAGCAGCTCTTGTCCTGTGGAGAAAGTCAAAGCGTTTGAGATGAGGCGCGACCAACTTTCAACATTCCTTGAAATATTTCGGAACGATATTTTTGCGTCCATTGACATCAGGCACGACGAGGACTTCATCTCTGCATGAAAACTCTCAGTCCAACTGTCCTGGAACGTTACTCTAGTCTTCAGACTATCATACGGTATAATAAGTTTTGAATGGCTTAGCTTATAGAGTTGTCAGTAACAAGTGACAAGTCACTAGTCAAACTGCGACAATTACGATGACGCGGAGGAAGTATATGTGTTACTTTCATAAACAAGGTAGACCGGTGTTGCAAAAGGATGATCTGTAGGTACTTACCAGGGGGAGTACCCACTGAGAACTTGGCACCGATAGGTGACCTCAGACCATTGATGACACAAACGTATTGGAAACCGTAGACATGAAAGCCTGGAGTTTGTTTCACATAGTCGGTGGTGTCATCCGGCCGTTCAGAATTCCATCTCATCGAAACATCCACCGCGCCCCGTTGTCCAATCTCCACCAGCTGTCTTGTGTAGCCAGGCTTTACAGCTGGTAGGTGGACTCTTACCAGTGCGCCAGTATGATCAGTGACATCTGGATTGAACTCCTTCACCACTGACAGACAAAACAAATCACAGAGCTCAAATTTAACAATAATTGTGACTCACATCTAACATACCACTGTTTTTGTGTAACGTGATTATTCCCATATTTGGGGGTGGAACTGTAAGGTATGTCACTGTAAAAGCCTTATATTATATAACCAAGTGCTAAATCTCACTAGGTGACGGGGAGAAATCTCGTCGTTGAAAGAGAAAACGTTTTACAGAAATGGATAATCTACTGTTGCTAGTAAGCACCGAGAATTATATTTGTAGTGATACACAAGAGGGAGAGTTTGGAAGCTTTGTCACAACTCTGAGTTTCACGTATTACTACGATCATCAGGCAACTGATGGTTCCATAATGGGCAGTCTGAACATAAGGGGAGCAAGGTGGGAACTTCCGAGGGGTATCATAGTTGACGCGTATCATAGCGAATGAGTCAGGTGCAGTCGTAGTGATTAGTGATCGCCGTTATCTTTCGTACACGTAAACCGGCCAATTTAAGGACATCGCTTTCGACGTTATATTTGCGGCCCGCTGGAATAATAGCTGTTTACAGTATTACAAAGAGTCGCAAATTAGTTGTCCAAAATGGACAGGTCAACAAGAAGATTATATTCACGATTTTGCAGTTTCAGGCATATGCGCATATAATACATAACTATGAGGCCTCGCAGCCCCAACAGAACTTACTATAACGAAGAAATCTCACTCTTCAAAATATTTTATTTACACCCTGGTTTTATTCACATGTCTTACAGCAGTTCATAATCACGTAGTTAGAGACATGTGACCAGGCATGCTTAGACTGTGTATGTACATACTGAGCTGGTATGTAACCAGTCATTGTTAACCCTTTACCGTTTGTACGCAAAATTTCGACTTCTATGCGCACAGCGCTGTACTGGTTCACCGCAGAGAGCTGGGATTTTCCCTACTGGTAGCCAAGATGTACGCGCAGAGGGTGCCGACAATTGTTTTGTGTGATGCAATATAAAAATCGCGGAAATCGCGACTTGAAAATCGCGCTTTGGGAAAAGTGCGTACCCTGCGACTTTTGGTATTGCCTGCAGATGTTTTCGACTTTTTCTGACGACGACTGCGACGATGACATGGCGAGTGAAAGCAGCGCCAGTGAGAGTGACATGGATGTCACAGACGACGACAGTGTCGCTGAGATGAGTACCACTAATGGTGGAAGGGGACGTGGCAGAAAGAGAGGATCCGGCCGTGGAATAGGCCGTCGTCACGGTAGAGGTCGTGGTGCACAGGTACTGTGTACAGCCAGCGGTGCAGCCTGCACTTGTCGATATTTGCAATACGTGGGACAATGCTGACACTGCTGTGACTGGTAACACTACTACATGCCACCCAGAGAACGAACCTGGTATCAACTTACCTGAGGGAGCCACTCCCGTGCAAGGATCTGATTAATTGCATATTGCAACAGTTTGCCTGATCGGCAATAAATCCAAATAATTACTAGTGCTAAATAGTGAAATCTGTGTTCGTTTTCTGGACTTGAAAGTTATTGCATCGCATTCCTGAGGGTTTTTACTTTCAAAATCACTCCTTGTTGTACAACCGCAAACTTGTATCGCATGTGAAGCTATTGTGGACGCTAATGAAAACCTTTTAATTTGCTACTCGATGTAGGAGATGTTTTGAGCAAACATGGCCATGATCAACGGCAGTTTTTGAAAGATGACATTTCCATCTCTAGGATCCCGTTTTCTACGTCAATGTTTCCACTTTATGAATAAATGCTTACAGGAACTTAAAAAATAAACACACATTTAGGTGCTGCAGAGGAAGTAGTATGACGAAGGCAAGTTGAATTCAATGACTTCAATCTCACCTGGTGTAGGCACTGGAGTTTGTTGTGCGACAGTAGCATCGTTAGGAGTAGCATCAGCATCAGCATCAGCACCAAAAACAGCATCAAGAATATATTTGGAGGAAAGGCACAAGGCACAGAGTATGGGAACGTTATTGGCATGTCATAACGGCATGCAGTCGATTAGCAAGCAGGATTATGAGAGAGAGACAGAGAGATAAAGATAGAGTGAGATGGAGAGAGACAGAGGGACAGAGAGAGAGAGAGAGAGAGAGAGAGAGAGAGAGAGAGAGAGAGAGAGAGAGAGAGAGAGAGAGAGAGAGAGAGAGAAAGAGAGAGAGAGAAAGAGGGAAAGAAAGAGAGAGACAGAAGGAGAAAGAAAGAGACCGAGACCGACACCGACACCGAGACCAAGACCGAGACAGAGAACGAGACCGAAACCAAGACCAAGACAGAGACAAAGACACAGAGAGAGAGACAGAGGTAGATACACAGAGAGAGAGGCCAAGAGAGGGAGAGAAAGAGAGAGAGAGATAGAGAGAGAGACCTTTGGACACACCTATCTAATTTGTCAAACTGGCTAACAGAGAGACAGAGACAGAGACCGAGACAGAGACAGAGGCAGAGACAGACACAGAGAGAGAGAGAGAGAAGGAGAGAGAGAGAGAGAGAGAGAGAGAGAGAGAGAGAGAGAGAGAGAGAGAGAGAGAGAGAGAGGGAGAGAGAGAGAGAGGAGACAGAGAGAGGAGAGACAGAGAGACAGAGACAGAGATTGACAGAGAGTAAAAGAGACAGAGACAGAGAGAAAGAGACAGAGAGACAGAGAAACAGAGAGAGATAGAGAGAGAGATTTGGACACACCTATCTAACTTGTCAAACTGGGTAACAGAGTAGCTGTGTTACTCATCGTTAAGTAGACATGTCGACTATATCTGTAGCAAAGTCCGTAAAGCTGTTGGCTACCTCGTGTCTCACTGCTCGCACCTACCGCTTGAATGCCTGCGCCTTTTTATCATTGCTATGTTCTCCCCCATTTTCTCTATTGCTCAACCGCCTGGTCATCCCTACTAAGTAAATCTATGATGAGTACCCTGGAAGTCCACAATAAGAGGATACTGAAAGTCCTTTCTCGCAAACCATCATCCTTTCTTTTTGCTGAGCTGTATGATCTGTGTTTAACACCTTCCCCATCTCCAGTCAAGCCGATCGAAAACTGGGTATTGTTGTTCAATCTTTCACCTCCCCCCCCCCCCCCCCACTGCAAGTAACACAGCTGCTGGTCCATTGCCATACCCATCAGAACTAATCTGCCACTCACACGCTCAATTACCCTCCCTCACTCATCCTCCCCCATTTTTCTCTCTCTCTCTCCATTATTCTCTGGCTCTCAGGCTCTCACTCTTTCACTCACAGTCTTTCATCTCTCCCTCTCTCCGTGATGCGTGATGTGTGCCTTAATCCCGAGGACATTGATCGGGGGAGCGCACTTCACCTCACTGACACATCTGTATAGCACCTCCACGCCCTTTGTAGTCCCCTATGTTCTCTGCCTGCTGTTGTTGTTGTTTTCTTGTGTTTTGGTTGTGTTTATTTGAATTCGCAAACCAAACGGACTGAACATGTCCAATGACAAGTCTCTTCCATTCAATGTAGGCATGCGCACCTTCATAGACATGTAAATAAAAATCCTTTGACTGGCTACGAACTTGTTCCACTATGTCACCCTAGGTGTGAAGTTTTTTTATGTGATTATTTGTTTTTTGTGGTGGCATTTTGATACTAGTTCGCTTCTTTTGCTCACGCTCTTCGAGGTTCTGGGCATTGTTCAGTATGGTGAGCTTCTCCATTCTGCATAGGTTGCGCCTTTTCGAAGTACACACCTCAAACTACAAGAGGAAATATTGTTCTAAATGCTACTTGAATAATCATAATGAGACCGGTATTGCAAAAGCATCAGTTGTCCTCTTTATACTCCTTAAGTACTTACCCACTGAGAACTCGGCACCGACAGGTGACGTACGACCATCGCTGTAACGAACATATTGGAAACCATACCTATCATAGCCTGATTTGAGAAACATATAGCTACGGTCACCCACGTAAGAATTTTTGAATTCCTGCGAAACATACACCGAGCCATGTTGTCCAATCCCCACCAGCTGTCTTGAGTAGCCATGCTTTACAGCTGGGAGGTAGAAAACAACCATTTTCCCCGTATGTTCAGTGAAGGCTGGATTGGTCTTATTCACCTCTAAGAGACAAAACAAATCAGAGAGCTCAAGTTTAACAATAATTTGTATTCACATCTACCATACCACTATTATTATGGTATATACAGAAGCCTTGCTTGGTAGTTTAACATGTTTTTCGATTTTGACAGCAACCGGGTTATGGTTGTAGTCAGGAGCACTACGCGTCCTCGCCTTGTAACATGCTGTCAAAATCGAAAAACACTATTATTATGTTAAGTGATTATTCCCTATTTGGAGGTGGAACTGTAAGGTATGTCACTGTAAAAGCCTTATATATAACTAAGTGCTAAATCTAACTAGGTGATGGGAAGCGATCTCCTCGTTGGAAGAGAAAACGTTCTACAGAAATGGATAAATCTAGTGTTGCTAGTAAGCACCGAGAATACTATACGGAATGATAGCGGTCATCTTTGGAACACGTAAACCGACCAATTTAAAGAAACCTTATACTTGAGGCTCGTTAGAACAATAGCTGTGAACTGCATTACAACGAATCGCCAATAAGTTTTCCGAAATCCACAGGTTAACAACAGGATATGCTATCATATCCGCACATAACACAGAGGAGGCCTTACAGCCCAAAATGCACTTGCAATAACGAAGAAATCTCACTTGTTTAAAAGTTAGTTCCAACGTCACTTTTTAATGAATTTTGATATCAAACACTATTGATGGTTTTCACTAATCCGCACACATATGTTCATGATCTTGCAGTCTTTGGGCATGTATGCGCATATAACGCACACGAGGCCTTACACCCCCAACAGAAATCTTACTCATCAAAATATTTTATTTACTCCCTGGTTTTATTCCCTTGTCTCAGTAAAGCAGTTCATAATCACCTACATTGTCGTTAGAGACCTGTGACCAGGCATGCTTAGATTGTGTATGGGCACTAAGATGCTCCAAATTGGTGGCAGCAGTAGGAAGCTACAAAGTTGGTGGCAGCGGTGGTTAAAGTGAACTTTGTTAGATTCGACCCCACCTGTTTTACATTGGTAGCAATGGCGCTACAAATTTGGTGACGCACATAGCATAGCATTGGGGCAGTAAGAAGACTCTACCTACCAACCGTCCTTGAAGATGCTTGACCCACACCAACGGCTGCGCGATTTCTGCGGACTACTTCTGGCGATAGCATTCTGGTTCGGACTTCTTATTGCTGATGTGGAGAAGTGAGACTTGAGTGCTTTGTTGATCGACCTGGACTTGCGTGTTGTTGACGAGAGGAAAGGTTTCGAGGATGAGTTTGGTGGACTTACGAGAAAGACAACGTGTGCTGTGTCCGTGGCAACATCGGGCGACAGTCTGATTCCTGGCAGTAATGATACAAGCGCTATACGACCACCATAGCCCAGCCTGCTGCACCAGCCGCCGCTCCTCCTACTGCTGCCCGCAACGTCCATTACTAACCAGAACTGATTTCAGGCAACGTCTCTCCCGATCTATCTCCATGCCCAACATAATCTAATTCCAGATGTGGCATTTTCTTTCCTGTCTTCCTTCAGTCTTCCTATTATCTGCAGTCTTCCTTTATGCGAGTGTGTGAATCCAGTTTAGTTTTGTAGGCGTCCGATCATAGCGAGCCACGGTCTACCTAGCTAACCTGGGACAATGTGTGTGACAATGCCCCATATAAGTGTATTGGGTTCGGTTTTGAACTGCGGTTTTGCTGGCAGGTTGTGCAGGGGTTGTCAAGAGTGCTGTCGTTTTTCAGGTCCTATTTGGAGGACGGTTCTTTTCCCTTTTGACCCCGTGAGATTGTGTGAACCTGGTGTGCTGCTATTTTATGATTTGTTTATCAGTTCATTCTTCTGTCTATTCCAAACGTTATCATTTCCGATATTATTTGTCATATTCCGGTTGACGCTCCCCCAGTAATTCGCGATCTACTATAATGTTCACGAATACACACCTGTATATGAAAGACATCCATTCTGCCTATCTCCTATCGTCGAGGTTGTCCCGACGCGACCATACATGCCGCCAGTTTCTTCTAAAATTAATAGCAGCCAGTTGTTGGTGTCCGGCTATCACCTAGTATTCGAATCACGAGGACGTGATTGTACTTGAGAGGGGAGGTGTAGCGTTGGCACGATGGTGACATTCACAGCGTATAGCGTATAGTGTTTAGCGTATAGCATATTGCGTACATTTTGCATATTCCCGTGCGTTAGCGTATCCCCGTACGTAAGCGTATCCCGTTCATTAACGTACAGAGTCTGCCTGTGTATACAACAAGCTGCTGCTCACAATTCTTTTGATGCCAGTTAATTTCACTGCCAGTTAATTTCAATGCCAGTTATAGTTAAATTTCAATTGCCAGTTAATTTACGTTCATTTCAGTTCAGTTCAGATTTTAATAAACAACAGTGTGCTCACTGAGACCCTTGTGTATCTTTGCTTCCGAGAGACTGCGGCCCGCTACATATGCACATACTGAGATGGCATGTAACCAGTCATGGTTGACAGAGGTGACACAGGCACATTGTAACCGGTGATGGTTGACAGTGTTTGTGACGAGTCGTTGTTGACAGAGTTTGTGACGAGTCATGGATGACAGAGTTTGTAAAAGGTCATGGTTGACGGAATTTGTAACAAGTCCGGCATGGTTGACAGAGTTTGTAACAAGTCATGGTGGACAGAGGTTGTAACTGGTCATGGTTACTGTAATAACAGTGACGTCATAGCTGACAGAGGCTGTAACGAGTCATGGCTGGCAGAGCCACTCGATTACACATCCTCGTGGAAAAGCAGCTGCTGCGTACCGGATTGCAAGTAGAGAAACCATAAGTGTGGAATGTGTGTACCGGCTCCGCAAACTGGCATCACAAATGAAGGTGTCGTGGAAGCTAAAAATACCTTTGAATGTGTTACACGATGTAGGAGATATTTTGATCAAACAAGTTAAAGCCATGATCAAAATCAAGTTTTGGAAGATGTCAGTTCCTTCTCTAGGGTCGTGGATCCAGTTTTCCACGTAAATTGTTCCACTTTATGAATGACGGCTTACAGGAACTTTAAAGATAACACACACATTTCGGTGCTGCAGAGGAAGTAGTATGACGCAGGCAAGTTGAATTCAATGCCTTCAATCTCACCTGGTGTAGGCACTGGAGATTGTTGTCCGACAGTGGAATCTCCAGAAGTGGCATCAGCATCAGCTTTAGAATCAAAAAGAGCACCGAGAAAGTATTTGGAGGACAAGAACAAGGCACAGAAGATGGGAACGTTAGTGGCATGTCATAACTGCACACAAACGATTAGCAAGTAAGATTAAGCAAGATACTGTATAGCAGGAAATTTTCGGACAAAGCCAAATTTCGACCTTTCGTACGGATTATATTTTCGTACAGTGCTGCATGCTAAATACACGTGTTCGCAAGAAGTATGCATATGTATAGTGTACATAATTTCAATTGAACAAATTTTAGTACGGAATTAATTTTAGCACAAAAGAGGCTGTGTACGAAAACGTACGAAAAAAAATTCCGTCCGAAATTTTCCTGCTATACAGTAGATAGAAAGAGAAGGAGTGTGTTTGTTTGTTTAGCTTTATTTTACTTCACCAGAAGAACAGGCAAAATCTGCCTTCTCACTGGGCGTATTGCCACAGTTCTCGCAAAAAGATGAAGGCGGTGATATAAGAAAAGGAGGAAGAGGAAAATACAATCATGAACAAGGCACAAAGAGAAGACGGAAACAAATCAATGAGGGAGTACTACAAGTAACGAATTTGAATTTGATAATTTTTTTCATGAAAATAATGCAACGGATCCAAAGACTCCAGGGTTGAGGGAATGTGGACAGTTATGCGTCTTTGAGATCTTAGGAGAGGATATCGTTTGTAATTGCTTTCTCAAATGCAGAAGGAATTGTGATGGAGCGGACATCAGGCGGCAGGCAGTTCCAGTACACACTACCAATGAACTGAACAGTGGATCGACCGGAAGGACC